CAATTGTGATACAATAACATTTTTTATGTAAAACCTGGCTTGGTAAGGCAATTACAAGAAATGCTACATACTCATAATGTATACGTAAGGGAGTTAAAGCTAGCCCTGGACAAAGTATCTGCTACGCCAAATATATTTAAAGTTGTTATAAATGCTGAAATAAAGCCTACAAATGGCTAAAGTGGACGGTATAATCAACCTACGGCAAATTAAGTTGCTTTAGTTATTTTTCGACAGCGATTTCTAAGCAGGATATTATAATTGAAAGCCATGATCACACGTTGCATCGAATAAGTGAAATACATCGCTCATATGATGCATTACAGTACCGACTTTTGTTTTGCTACGGCGAGGATGGATACTCTATTTATATACCCCAGTCGATACTAAGCCAAACAACCGCCTAAAAATGGTATCTGCTGTAAGTTTTTTTTCTTACCGTATAATTATTATAAAAGAAGAAGATAATCATCTGCTATACTTTCGTTCGCTGTTTAGTCAGTTTTTAGTTGACAAGTTTGCGAAAATCGACGAAAAGGTTGAGTTATATTAGAAACAATCAGGCGCTGGGGTTTTTGGGGGGGTTCCGCCTCTGTTTCGTTTGGTGTTTTGGGCTCCTTTTTTGGGACTGGTTCTTTTTTGTGTGTTTTCATTTCTATCTTATAGAGCGGAGACAGTTATATACACTTTCAAGATGCGATAGAGAGACAGGATGTTGATGCTGATCAGCTGGGTCAAAAGGTGGTGCTGTCTTCTTCTTTTACTGGGGGGCCACGCTATATGCATGAGCGGACACAAGACGTCATGACGTATGTGCATCTCTACGGTCGTTCCGATCTCTTTATAAAATTTACTTGCAATCCTCGATGGGATGAAGTCACGGAGATGCTTTTGCCTGAGCAAAAAGTTATGATAGACACGACATAATAGCTAGGGTTTTTCCCCTCAAAGTTAAAAAATAATGGCAATTCTAACCTAAAGAAAATATTTGGAGAAGTACGTTGTTTCATGTTCTCTACCGCTCTATTCTGGCAGGAACGGGGTCTGTTTCATATTCATATATTGTTGTTAATGGTTAACCGCATTTCGCCTGACATAGTGGATGAACTTATATCTCGCTCAGATACCCAATCAAAATGAAGATCGTATTTTATACGACATATTTAAAAACAATATGATACACAGTCCATGAGGGAACCTTAATAATAATATGTTTACATAGTAAAACCATGCCGCAGCTATATTGTGGTAGCAGCACGAATGGCATTATTACTGGAAACGAGGAATTCCATCTCAGTCCTCAGGGCTGGCAACGCATCTGCATTTTGATTCTTAATTTAAGATAAATGTAGATGTCTATGGGCCACAGCAACCACTTACCATCAGGTGGACTGTGTGCTCGTTGGTCACCCTTATTCTATAAAGAAAAGTAATTCCTGCATGAAAGATGATAAATGTAGCAAAAACGATCTCAGACAATTTTTGAGACATACACAGATAGAAGATGATGGTTACCTACAGTATAGAAGATGATCTCCGGCTGACGGTGGCTTTACTTTACACTTAATTAAAAGACATTGAAATAGACAATAAGTAAGTGGTCTCATATAATAACGTTTTGTCACGGACATTTAAGGCACATATTAATGTAGAATTTTGCAATTCTGTTAAATCGATAAAGTTTGTAAGTACATAGGTAATATGTATATAAGGGCAGTAACCAGCCGACTTTCGTGCTAGAATACAAAAAGAACACAGTCAAATTATGAGAGTGGACGTTATTTGAGTAGTTCGGTGGCAGTTTGAAGGATTTTGAGGTTTTCGATACATTAAAGTTTTCCCGCAGTCCCACATTTTGCTGTTCACCTTGAAAATGGCCAACGAGTCTATTTTAATTCCGTGAACCTCGTGGAGATAGTTTATAGCCCGCCAAAAACGACACTGTTAGCATTTTTTGATTTATGTCAAACGTACGATTCCGCATAAAGAAGAGTTTTATCTTTTGGTAAAACCCTTTTTTATGCAGAGCCTTCATACAAAAAAAATTTTTGAGAAGGAAAAGGGGAAACCCCGTAGATTGCTGGCTAGGGACAATGAAAGAACACGCTTTAGGTAGAGGTTTACCCGAATAGCACATCTTCGCTTACTACAACTCGAGTTTAGGGGTCCATCATCCTTGGATGACTTGAAGACTGACAACGGTGTCCTCCAACCAACTTTTTAATTAGCTTGCATGAAACTTGGCTTGCTAGAGGACCACAAACATTGAGATTCCGCCCTAGAGGAAGCAGCCTTATGCGAGTCGCCATTTAAATAGCGTGAACTTTTTTTTACAACGCTGGCATTCTATGAGACTGTCACTAAGTCTTAATACAGTCAACATACAAGGATGGTCTACAAACGAAGATTACAAACGACAAGTGGAATTTTCTTTAGGCTTTCTGGCATTTTAGATGAGACGTTCATGAAATCTACAATAAATGTCTGGTCAAAATAGAAGAAGCTGCATACATTAGGAGGACAAAGCCCACAGCACTACGGGTAGCCTCAAGCTTAAAGGTCTGAGGGCTTCGCAATAACCGGGAATAACTGAAAGAAACAAGTTACGATGTCAATTCCTTAGCAGAACTGGTGTCAAGTAGCCGGTGTCCCCGAAGATAGGAACTGAACCATTGTAGAACTGACGATGTTAAATTCAGGGATTTCAAAATTGCTAACAGGATGTCATAGTCAACACAGTTAAAGGCGTTACTGAAGTCCAGAAGGACAAGAAGAGTGAGTTGACGATTATCCATCGCGAAGCGGATATCATCAGTTATTTTAATTAAGGCCGTGGAAGTACTGCGCAGAGATCGGAAACCAGACTGATGAGGATTAAAGAGGTTGTGTTTGTTTAGAAATTTTGAGAGTTGGCCATGAACAACCTTTTCAAGAATACTGGAGAAGAAAGAGAGGATAGATATTGGCCTATAGTGGCTGAAATTAGTAGGAGAGCTATTTTTGGGGACAGGAATCAGGAACGCTTCTTTCCACTTAGTAGGGAAGGTACTGGAGGCAAAGGAGAAATTTATTACGTGAGTGACATTGGAAACTATTTGGTCCAAAATCGGCAAAACCATGTCACGTCCAATATTATGTGAGCCGACAGCTTTGCTGTTAACCAATGAACAAAGACATATCTATTATAAAATACTTTCCTGTATCGACGCACGTGTAGGGGAAATCTTTTTTTTAGGTGCTCCTGGTGGAACAGGCGAGACTTTTCTATTAAATTTACTGTTGGTCAAAGTGAGAAGTAATCGTGATATCGCACTTAGTGGTCGCATCGTCCGGAATTGCTGCCACTCTGCTAGAAGGAGTTAAAACTGCCCACTCCGCGTTTCAACTTCCTCTCAATTTGATACAAACCGAAACCCCACTCTCCAATATACCCACACGAAGTAATATGGCAGAAGTACTCCCCAAAACGAAATTAATTGTTTGGGATGAGAGTACTATGGCTCATAAAGGGGTTTCGAAGCCCTAAATAGATCTTTCCAAGATATTAGGAATAATAATTGTCAAATGGTAGGAGTTACTGTATTGTTAGCAGGCGATTTTCAACAAACTTTACCAGTAGTGCCGAGTAACGCGAGCGGACGAAGTTAAAGCGTGCGTGAATCGGCCTTCAGTGACAAAACTTAGCCTTACCAAAAATATGAGAGTTCATCGTAGGAGAGATGTTATAACTGGACACTTAAAATAGTAAATAATATATATGTGGTAGAGCCACGCTGCAGCTATACTATGGTTATAGCGTGAACGAGTCGGCTCGACCGGGGAAGAACGCTCTCACAGAATACCAACGTAAAATAGCAGCTTAATGCTGCTGTGTTTCGTGTGGTGAGTGTAAAGAACCGGAGACCCGTTTTACTGAAATCGAGGCATTTCATCCTCATCCTCAGGGGTGACAACGCATCAGCATTTTGATACTCCATTGGGGATAAATGTGAATGTTTATGAGCCACAGCATCCACTTACCATCAGAAGAACTGTGTGCTTCTTTTTCACCCTTATACTATAAAAAAAAGGAAATGTTGATTTCTCGAAACTGGATAATAATATATTCTTCCTACAGAGTTAGGTACAATTGTTACCACTGTAGAAGAGCTTACAGCTGAAATTTAACCAAACATTAATAATATTCACGATAAACCTGCAGAATGGTAACGCAAGCGTGCCATCCTAACACCAAAAAAAGAACAAGCCTCAGTCATAAATGAAATACTTTTCAGATCATACGAAGGGGTATATAATAATATAAACCGTCGACTTAGTGATAAACACTGATGATGCCATTTATCACCCAATCGAGTTCCTGAATACACTGAAGCCCAACTCACATATTAAAATTAAGAGTTAGAGCGCCAATTATGTTGCTGAGCAATGTAAATCCACTAAAATTATGCAATGGCAACAGATTGTAAGTGAAAATATTGCATCGCAATGCAATCGAGGCAACTATACTGACAGGTCGTTCTCGAGGATATTTATTCCTAGGATTCCCCTAACACCATCAAGTTACCCGTTCGAATTTAAGAGAGCGCAGTTTCCAATCAAAGTCTGCTTCGCCATAATCATAAACAAAGCTCAAGGTCAAACTCTTAAGATAGCGGGAGTAGACTTGAGAGAAAGCTGCTTCTCCCACGGTCATTAGTGTGTGGCATGCTCCAGATACAGAGTAAGCGCACAGAGTAGCCTGGTGATTCTATCACCCGAAGGCAAGGCCGTAGCCAGGAGGGGATCAAGGCGAAAATAAAAAATAATATTAAGGGAGAGTGGGGTAATAATGAACACTTAAGTGGAAACTTAAATTGAACAAAACCAGATTAAGTTACGAATGTCATTTATTACTTGAAGTTTACTTTAAATTATCAACCTTAAGTTCTGACAAGCAACATAGACAAATTTTCTATATAATATCAAATATTAACAAGAAAACTGCACTATGGGGTTCGGGATTACCCCACAGCACGTGGGGTAATTACGGATATAATCCACTCACCACATAAATCACAAATAAATCCTTTTGATATACTTTCACCACTCGTACACTTTTCAATGGCCCATAAATTACATTTGTAGCATTTTACCAAATTTTCATGTGGAGGATCTTCATATCTTTCATCACAAAACTCTAGCAAAATACTCATTTTCATTCGCATCTCCTTCTTTGGCCTCTTTTTCTTGCGCGGTACGTCCTTTCCTTGAACCTTTATCTTAATAGTAGTATCTGCAAATTCTTGACGATTCTTTACACCTTTCTTGGAACTTTTAGTGGAACTAACAGCCTTTTCACTTCCTTTCATGTGCTCCTTATTTTTCTTTATTCCTTCTTTTTATTCTAAAATATTTTTCATAGGACTACCGTTTATCATAGCTGAATGTTTTCTTCTGAAAATTTGTTTATTTTTCAGTTGTAGCGTTTTGGAGATTTGAGTGGGTATAAATAAGTAGTTTGAGTAGGTATAAATAAGTTCGTGAAGGTACAGGGCTGAAAGCAAAACATACGAACAAACTTCCACAAATGTATTTCATCTAAATTCATCATCATTGTCATCAGATCAACGCAGTCGAAGCTGGACATAAATTATAAAATAAAAGACAATAATTTGATTGTTTAGGGGTAATTACGAATAGTCGGGGTTGCTATTTGACGCTGGTATTCTGTGAGAGCGTGGTCCTTCCCCGGTCAAGCCAACCCATTCGTACTACAACTATACAAATGCAGCTATCTGCAGCATGGATCTACCACATGTCTGTGTGTTGCAAAGAACAAATTAATCAAAATTATCAAGAAAACTACTTTGAGCTCTATAAAAAATATTTGGAATGTGACTTTGTAAAAGCTGATTAGACATGTGGCGGATCAAATGGGTGGAAGAATCTGAACTAGTCGACTATTGTAGCTCTCGAAGAATGCAACCGGGCCTTATTTCCAAACATTCACAAACTTGTAAAGATCTTGGCGACACTGCCTGTTTCTACATGTACTCCTAAGAGGACTTTCTCTGAAACGCCTCAAAACTTATGTGAGAAACTCCACAGGCATGGACAGACTAAAGGTTTGGCGTTAACGTCAATCCACCGCAGAATTGACATCGACACCGAGGAGGTAATTGATTAGTTCGCAGTATTTCTATTTCGTTGAAAAGGATAATACCCCCGTGTCACTTTCACTAGATCAAAGACCGAACTTCGTGTTCACAAAATATAACAAAATTAATTTTCTTTTCATGTTTAAATCCCTACACTATAATATTTTTAAATTTTATAGGTATTTTAACATTTTAACGTAATAATTTATATGTTTTATGAAAATTAATGACGTAAAAACAATTAAAAATCCTACAAGAACCATTTTCTTCTACGCGGACGAAGTCGCGGACATAAACTAGTTTCATATAAAAGTAGAATCCTTATTTACTCGTAATTTCAAAAACTTCAACAACGGTATATCATTATTTATATATTTGAACATACCTTTAAAATTTGGCCACTCTTTGAAACATAACCTTGTATAAATTCACTGTTGAACCTCATGCTTAGATTGCCGTATTGGGAGGATTCTGCCATAGTTGCCACGCATGGCAGGAGGGTTAGAAACCGTAGTTTTTTAATGTTGATGCTGCTGCCTATCTCCTTTTCAGTTTCCCTCTCTCGCATCTTACGAGTACGACACCCCCGGGACGATATGAGTTGAAGATATTTTTACACCGCTACCACATGAGTAAATAAACCGACTCTGTGCCGCCACTACACGGTTATGGGTTACCGCTTACTTAATTTAGATATTAATTACGTCTATACTTTTGAAGAAATTGAGAGAGATTACTTTGTGAAGAGAGGAAGAGCATTTAAGCGTTTCTAAATTGACGTCGATTTTTATGAATAAGACTAAAACAGCTGCTATACTAAACAAGGGAAATAGCTACCTATATTACATAATTTCGAGATAAGACATTTTCAGTGAAAAATTAGATATATTCGCCGACGGCCGCTTAGCGATGGTTATCACGCAAACATACAAGCCCAGCTAAACGTAGACCTACACACTGCTGACCAAAAAGCAAAGGGGTGTCGAATATACTTAACATTTGTATTTCTCGATCTCCATTGGGGCATTTTTATTCGTATTGCACACTAAATTGTTATTTATAGGGGCACTTTTATTACCATTTTTCTTTCCAAACAATAAGATATTGAATGAATCCATGTTGTTAAGGCTTATCCCTCGTCAAATTTTAAGTCACGTTAAAATCCTGTACGACACATATACAATAGTTTATGCAAATTGTTTGATGTTAAACATCCAAATTTTATATTATCACCCTTAAATTTGTTTTTCAAAGGCCTTTTGTTTCCGGCAGGATATTAACATTAATTTGTATATTTACATTTACCTACGGAAATTTTTTCTTGTATTAAGAATCGACCAGACGTTTTATTTATGACCGCAACACGAGTGGGTCGGCTCAAGTGGGGACCACTCTAGCAAAGAAAACTAGCGTGAAATATATGTTTGATGCTGTAGTGTTTTGTATGGTTATGATAGCTACTTTATATACCGTTACTGCTATGTTTCATACCCCTCGCTCCGTATTGCCGTATCGTGCGATATAGTTGCAAGTCTTGGAGGCAATTGCCTACATTTCCGTTTTGAAATATTGTTTCGGGCGATGACGTTTTTACCGCCCTTAACCTTTACGACATGAAACAATTTTGATCTCATTCGATTCTCAAGAGACACCTTAATCTAGATCTGTGCGTTTTTCTTTTCTAGTAATCAGTTTAATTTAATTAAAACAAAATAAAACCGCTCGAGGACGTTTTTAAGCCATCATCATCGTCATTCATCATTACAGCCTTTTACAAGTCCATTCCTGAACATAGACCTCCCCCAGGAATGCCACAAAGCACGGTCCTGAGCCAACTGCATCCATCAACTTCCTGCATGTCTTACCAGGTCGTCACTCCATCTAGTGAGGGGTTGCCTTACACTACGCCTGCCGGTACGAGGCTGCCACTCGAGAACCTTTTTTCCCCAGCGGTTGTCAATTCTTTGAGCTATATGGCCGGCCCATTGCCACTTCAGCTTACTAATCTGGGTACTATCAATTAAGTTTATCACGCAGAGAAACCCCGAGCATAGCCCTCTCCATAGCTCGCTGAGCGACCTTGAGCGTCTTTATACGGCCAGCAGTGAAGGACCACGTCACAGATCCGTAACTCATCACTGGTTGTACAATCTAGTTTTCAGGTTTTGAGGTATACCTGACGAGAAGATGTGTCGTAATTTCCCGAACACTGCCCAGCCGAGTTGAATCCGTCGATTGACTTCTCGGTCGAAGTTGGACTTACCTAGTCGGACTATTTGTACCAAGGTAAACGTACTCGTCAACAATTTCGAGCTTAGTGCTCCCAACAACTACCGGCGTACGTGTGACATGGACATTAAACATGATTGTTTGACAACTTTGTTTCGTCCATGTTCATTTTAAGACCGTTGGGATACACTATTGTGGTTATAAAGGCATGTATTCACTTTGATTAGTGCGAGTGCAGGTGATTAGTAATTGAGGGTGATTAGTGCAGGTGTGTATTATAAGTAGTGTCCAATTCTGTTTAGTGGCTGTGTTTAGTAAATTTATAGATTATGTCTTCGGTCCACTTTGCCATTTTTGCAACACAAGCGAGCATCCGACACTAAACGCTAAACACTAAACACTGTTGTCCATATACAACATGTAACATATTTAACGCACTTTGAGAAAGTAGTTTGTTCAGAATCGTTTACTGAATCGATTCCTATTATTTTTAATATAGGTAATGTTTTATCCCAAAGATAATTAAAACTACGTAAATTACAGTCACACTAAATCTGTACAGTCAAAACAAACTGAAATCGACCGTAACTTAAGGCAATAAGACTTAAGGACGCGTTTTCAAATCAAGCAAAATTAGGGTGTTTTTCGGTACATTTTGTGACAAAACTAAACCAAATCAAATATAAGTAAAAACTACCATGTATAGATTGGTTCTTCATCTGCAAACATCTGTAACTCTTTTGTTAAAAATAGTAGTTTTTTATATTGTAAAAACGAACTTTCGTTGCCATTTTCTACAAAATTAACGATACCGGCTTGTGTTTCGGTACATGTTTTGGTCTATTATCAACATATTTAAAAATTTAAAAAAATACTATAAGATGACAGACATATTCAATTAAAAAACCCTGGGTTTATTTTTTAACAAAATGTCACAAATAGTCGTAAAAAAAATAAAAACTGATGCACATTTTTTCACATATTTTGGTAATACGGATGAATCATAATCTATTGCAATAAGGGCTATTTTATTGTTGGTGCCTGCTTTGATTTATTGTACAAAGATTTCGATGAAACCACATTCCGCGCTCGGCCGCCGTCGTGAGTGGACACTGTATCGCCTGTTTGCAGCGGCTCATTCTGAAAAGATCGCTGTACATACACAAAATATTAGAAAAAAACAAATTGGAAACATAAGTACTTGACAAGTGATAAAATTATTATTTTTATACTCACAGTTTTTTATTTAGCTAAAAATAAGTAGAATATATAAACTTACCTACTACTGCAACTCCTGGACGAGCGGAACTAGGTGTGCCGAGTTTGGGCTCCGTTTTGTTAGTTATGACGAGTCCATACCTCCGGACTTAATGGAGTGACCTGAAGGTGTAAATCGGTGATTGCAACTGGAACTCCTAGACTGGTAGAACTAGGTGTGCCGAGTTTGGGTTCGTTTTGTAGGTTATGATGAGACCTTACCACCGGACTTGATGGAGTGACCTGAAAGTGTAGTTCGGTGATTACAAGTGGAACTTCTAGACTTGTAGGACTAGGTGTGCCGAGTTTGGGTTCGTTTTGTTAGTTATGATGAGACCTTACCACCGGACTTGATGGAGTGACCTGAAGGTGTAGTTCGGTGATTACAAGTGGAACTTCTAGACTTGTAGGACTAGGTGTGCCGAGTTTGGGTTCGTTTTGTTAGTTATGATGAGACCTTACCACCAGACTTGATAGAGTGACCTGAAGGGGTAATTCAGTAACTACTGCTGGAATTTCTGAACGAGTAGAACTAGGTGTGCCGAATTTGGGCTTCGTTTTGTTAGTTACGATGAGACCTTACCACCGGACTTGATTGAGTGACCTGAAGGTGTAATCAGGTGGTTACAAATGGAACTCCTAGACTAGTAGAACTAGGTGTGACGAGTTTGGTTTCGTTTTGTTAGTTACGATAACACCTTACCACCGGACTTGATGGAGTGAAA